CCAGCTACCAGTCCACACTCCTTATTGTGGTGTGTGGGACTTGAACCGGCAACCCTCCGGTTCCCATGCCAAGTCCCTACACACTGAGCTACTGCCGCCCCAACTAATGGTGCTGCAACACTGCCACTGCTTCTGTCGCCTTTCTGTTCGCGCTCCCTTCGGTCTGTGGATTATAGTCCTGCATTTAATGAGGTCATTATTTCAACAACAAGCTGAGAGACACTGCCGCCTTTTTGTCAAACATTTGCTTCATTTTCTTTTTAAATTATTTACCCAAGGAGGTGAAAACCAGCAGATAACGAAAGAGAGGTGTTTGTGGGTTTAGGAATGAGACGTGGCTCCTGAACCTGAGGCTCTAGAGCCCCCCAGTGGCCACAACTATAACTGCTCCTGACTTTTTCTAAGAGTCGAGCTCTGAATTTTACATTTAATCAACATTTCAATGGTCTTCACTTTCAGTTGTTTTCCCTCTACAGCTCAAAGTAACTTGACTCTAGCTAATATCATTGAAAAGACAGTGATGCACTCCACATGTCCAAGCCAGAATATTTGTTTGTTTGTTCCAAACTTGTTACCTTATCGCCCTTTTCAACTGCAAAAACGTGAAAATAGGTCAATAGGTCAACAATCTGTCCCTAAGTTAACTAAATGGCTCTACTCAACGTTTCTCCCCGCTGCCTCTCTGATGCCTCACCTCCCTCTCGCTCCTCTTACGATTTTTTCACATCTAACTAATTAAGAGTTTATTTTGATCAAACCAAGACGGTTTTACAACGGCAGGTAAAATTACTGTTATTGTTAATAGAGTCATGTGGCTTTGAACAGAGCTGGTTAAACAAAAAGCTCTCTCTCTCTCTCTCTCTGTTTCTCTCTCTCTCTCTCAGCCTGTCAGTGGCAAAAACGAGCAAAGTTAGTGGACGTACGTTTACAAGGTTTACATTTCATGTTTCCCTCTCACTCAATACTGGACCAATTTCAAAGATTGTTGTCCCACACACACACACACAATCACA